GTGCACAGATAAACTGCCTTTATCTCGAAGGCTCTTTTTATAAGCGAATTCCATCTGCGGATTATTATAGAAGTTGGCTCGCTTCATTGACTCAGGCTATTTTTTATATAAGTTGACGTCACCGACTGAATTCGAAGATCTTTACTGATTCATTCTTTAGAAGATCATTGATTTGTGCTTAAACATCAAGGACACCGATCATTTTTCTTTGAAGTTTTCATATTTCGAAAAGTTCACTCAACGTTGATTCATCCTCATCTATAAAATGGTTCCCTAGAAGAGTTTGCACACATTGAACAGACGTGACTCATTCGCAGTTTTATTGTTCCACCAACGAGTCAAAACCCAGGGCCATCCGGCAGTCCGGAAAAGGTGTTAAGACAACCACTGATTGACCTGTCCTGTACCTGGATATATGCGTTGCTTTCCAATGCTCTTTTGAGTAACCACCCGAAACCCTTTCCATGTTACTCTAGAATCGCTGTTAGGTTTTCGCCACTTGGACATTTATTTTTCCACTAAGGAGTCTGATAACGAACGCTGACTTGAAATGACTATTATTAACTTATCCTACAAGGTTATCTGATAATTCAATGATTATAACCTCATCGGCTATTAATGGTAAGAACAGCCAACAATGAATAACACAACAAAAATGACAGAAAAAGTCACAGGGAATAATAAAATTTTGAAGAAGTGACATAGGATAATGAATTTCATCTTTTCACACAACTCGATTTAATCTATCATATGTAAGCAGTGTGTCGATTACTTCAGTTTCAATTTGACTTGTGTACCCTCGCGACCCATTTTGCAGTGATGGCGACAGTGACTCCTCTCCCTCAACAAAAACGAATGCGAATCAAAAATGCTCTATCAAACAACTACGAAAAAGCTGTCGGAATCTATAAAACATGTGAAACGTCAACTGAATTTGATAAGTAAAAGATATCCGATCTCCGATAGAACATACCGGTGTCGTGGAAGACATTTAAAAACTATCAAGTTTATTTGAGTACACTATAGATTTTCCGTGTCGCAGATCTAAACAGTGAAAATCCATCTCCGTGTTGTTCCCTGAGTACATAAGTGAATCATCCCTCTTGTCTACCACCTGGATTTGTCACCCAACAGTTTGAAAAATGCTTTGGTTGGTGAACCTAATTTCTCATAAGCATAACGCTTCGCCTTGCTCATTTTCCCCGATTCTAGGATGGATGGCTTTCACAGTTCAAACCGTTCATCCGACTCCAGAAAGCATTACTCAGTACTGCTAGCACACGGAGAGTGACCTATACACACTTCCCACTTTCAGTCAAAAGGACAGGCCTTTTGCTTTTGCGCACTGGAATGGGTTTCGGCTATCAGCCTCGTCGACCGATTGGGAACAAATTGAGATTAAACCGAATGCTGATGTTGAAACCAAGAATTAAATTGTAGATATCAGAAAATGAGTAGTTAGCACAGCAGAATCAGTGTTTGACAAGCAGCCACGTGGACAGCTTTTCCAATCCACTGACTAGAATGATCCTCAGGTTTTCAAGAAGAAGCTAGTGCAATCTGATTGACAAAGGTCATGGGTTGAAGTTTTGGTTCTCTCGGATCACTGAGGCAAGCAACTCCCTCAGCAAATATTACACACCAATAGGTGTTATCTGTTGTTGGGCTTAGGACAGGTCGCACTCACTGTGATCGATAGAATTAGGATCATTGAATATGCGCGGTACCAAGAAGAAATATCACTCCCTACGTAATTTTGGTAGCGAACACACGAAGATTATTTTTCAGAGTCGTTATGCAGTAAAGTCATTTTACACCTTTGCTAATAATGTCATTCATTAATTCACCCGGCTCAGACGCATATTAATGACCCTGAATGAAACTATTCATGACACCCAACAACTAGGTTTATGCGGTGCTTGCATTCCGCACTTGACGCTTTATCCTCTTTAACCCATTCGGTTGGTCAGATAATAGGAAAATGGGAGTGTTCCATTCCTAAAGCATTATGACGTTCTGTGGGGTCAAACGTCCACGTTTCATCTCCATTATTTGTTGATCCATCGATCTTCGTTCACACACGGACAACTTTACCGAATGACCACAACTGATACATTAACGAGGACAGGGTGGTCTGACTCATGACACTCGGTGTCTTCGAAGCTCTTCGACCATTTCTTTTCTCATTGAAATATCATCCGGGTTAATGAACACCGTTTTCTTGCTCTGAACCCACGGATGTTGCGACGGTTACTTCATCTCACATGGGCGATGAAGATTTTCACAATCTGCAGGCTAAGTTCGTTTTTGTGAATGGTCGGCTGCCCACACTGATTTCTTCAGGTGAGTGCGTGCGTTACTCCAGCTCTGGAGAACACTATTCTCATATGTTGACTAGTGAACAGTAAATTGTTTGGCCTCACTCTGTAATGTGTTCTCATATGACCTTCGATCCTATTCTGACATACCTTGTTTATTTGAGAGATAAGCATTTTTGTCATCACATCTCGAAGCCAGTTGTATACTAACCCATCTCACCAAACCTGCAGCATACCGCGCAGGACGTAAACCCCACTGATGATCTTTCCGGATGTGCTAAAACCAAATTCCTGTCTCTCAAACAGTTCACTTTCCCTAAGTGTATTACTCAAGAGAATCTTGCTCATTTTATAAAATCTAATCACTCAGTGACATGCTGAAGGCGCTACTCAAAGTGGTAGCCATTTCTCTGAAGTTGTTCCAAGTGAACTTGCTTGTTTTGCATTCGATCCGGAGTACGTGTCAAGACAATTCAATCAACACAAACCATAACATTCCAGACTCTCGATCGATCCAAACTCTGTCCTAGCTCGCTTTCTATCAACAAGTTTTCAACGTGTTGATTCTGCATTTACTTTGTGGTTGTCAAGTTTCATTGACAATGGTAACCGAATACGCACCTTGGGGTGAACAAAGGATTTCGTTGACTTGACTCTCGTCTTCCAACACAACTAAAGCCTTAGAAGCTGATCGATGCCCAGCCTCAGGGTCCAAACATACACCAATTAACTGGTGAATGAAATCAGAAATACTCGAGTTGTTTCAATACCCATATAGCGTTTGAATAACCACTGTGACTTCAGCTAACCCAGGAGATGCCATTCAGTGAGATTAACTGACTGAATTAAGTTTCCGGATATCCATTGTAGAATTCCTCCTCCGCGGTACCATCATTTACCTTCTGAACTCGAAATAAATCATAGCGCGCATCTGTGGTAGCCCTAGACTATGTGACTTAAAAGAATACAATCCAACATGTGAGGTGAAAAGTANTGAAAAGTAGACCACTGTGTGTTGTCTGGAAGTATTACACTGAAAACTGCGGCATTAGTTTAAAGCTAGCGTCTGATTTGAGGAGCAAAGCCTAAACGATTCGGTTATTTTCGCAAGTTAATAGAAGTTCTAGCTATCCAAAATCTTACGGGCGATATAAGCTATCCGCATTGGGTTTGCCAAGTCAAGTTACCTAGGTCAGGGTCACTCGAGGCCAATATATACACACACAAACGCGAGCAACGAAGGTGATCTTTCGGCATTAATAGAGAAAAACCGTTTCCCGTGATTTATACTACACACAGCCGAGTTGGTGAACT